TTTCTGCAATTATTGTGGTGGAACTTCGAAATAATCAGATGAAAAGTCATTGCCTAACGTAATCTAAAGTGTCTTGGTCTTGACGTTTTTTTCCGATTAGATAAGTTATCTGTTCACGGTAAGCACTCTGAAGTAGCCCCTCAAGTACATGTAGGTGACGTGTGAATGCTCCACAAATTCGGCCAGTTTGAGTAAATGTTCTCTCTCTCTCTCTCTCTCTCTCTCTCTCTCTCTCTCTCTCTCTCTCTCTCTCTCTCTCTCTCTCTGTCTCTCTCTCTCTGTCTTTCTGTCTGTCTGTCTCTGTCTGTCTGTCTGTCTCTCTCTCTCTCTCTCTCTCTCTCTCTCTCTCTCTCTCTCTCTCTCTCTCTCTCTCTCTCTCTCTCTCTCTCTCTCTCTCTCTCTCTCTCTCTCTCACGTTGCGTTTGGTTCCCACAGTGCTGCTGTTGTTGATAGTCTTCATATAGGTTTTCAAGGTCCATCGTGACTCAGATCATCTTATCGCTAATTAAGTAGAGTATAAACAAACATAAAAATAAAAATGGAAATACACACGCCATACAAATGAATTTATCAAGAATTGTCTTACAGTGAATTATATGAATATCTCACAGATGTTATGATAAAATATAACAATGAGACAAATGTTTATCAAAAGAAAAATAAAAAAAAATCATATGTCATTGCCTTTAATAAGAAATTTCGCGTATTAATGGATTGAGATTACATGACAGAACCACCTATTAAATGTTATACTGATAACCTGATACAGAAAAAAATAAGTGCAGTAAAGATAACAACTAATTAGATTTAGAAACTGATGTGGGTTAATTACTTAATGAAATAAGTTCTCTATCACTGTTATTACCATAATCATTATTGTTATTATTACAATCATTATGATTATTAATATCATTTTCAGTACGATTACCATCATCATTATTATTATTTTCATCATGTTATTATCACTATTATTATCATTATCATTATTGTCATTGTTATGATTGTGATTGTTACGATTGTCATTATTATTATTTAAATCTTTATTATTGTCATGGTTAATATTGCCATTGTTAATAGTGTCGTTGTTACTGTTATTATTAGTATCATCATCCTCGTTTTTATTACTGTTATTACTGTTGGTAGTATTATTGTCACTAATATCAGCAGCAGTAGTAGTAGTATCAGTATTGATACTATCACTATCATTATTATCATCATTGTTATTATCGTTACCATCATTATAGTTATTATCATTATCATCATCATTCTTATCACTGCTATTATCATAATTGTCATCGCTATTGTCGTCATTATCATTATATTATAGTGTCATCATTATTGTCGTTATCTTTATAATTATTATTTTATTATTAAAATTATTGTTATTATTATCATTATCAAAATTATTGTTATTATTGTTGTGATTGCTATTATCATCATCATCATTATTATTATTATTATTATTATTATTATTATCATTATTATTCTTGTTGTTGTAGTTGTTGTTATTATTATCATTATCATCATTATTATTGTTATTAGTATCACTGTCATCATCATCATTATTATCATTGTTATTATTACGATAATTATTATCATTATCATTATTATTATCGTTATTATTATTACTATTATAATTATTATCATTATCATTATCGTTATTATTCCAGTTATTGTTATCATTATTATCATCATTATCATATCATTATTACTACTACTATTGTGATGATGATGATGATCATCATCATCATACTTCTGTCATTATCATTATAATTATGATTATTGTCATAATCATTATCATTATTGTTACCATAATTGTTATTATGATCATTATTGTTATTATTATTATATTTATTATTGTTTTTTATCATTATCATTATCATTAGTTGTATAATTATTATTGTTATTATCATTATCATCGTTATCATCATCATCATTATCATTATCATCACCATCATCATCATTATCATTATTATCACCATCATCATCATTATCATTATCATCACCATCATCATCATTATCATTATTATCACCATCATCATCATTATCATTATCATCACCATCATCATCATTATCATTATTATCACCATCATCATCATTATCATTATCATCACCATCATCATCATTATCATTATTATCACCATCATCATCATTATCATTATCATCACCATCATCATCATTATCATTATCATCACCATCATCATCATTATCATTATTATCACCATCATCATCATTATCATTATTATCACCATCATCATCATTATCATTATCATCACCATCATCATCATCATTATCATCATCATTTATTATCATTATCATTGCCTTATTACCATTATACTACTATGTTGAAAGCAGCCTGGGATTGAAACTGCTGAAAGATAGTGACACCTTTTCGATCCTTTTATTTTACTCGTAGATAGTTAATAATAATGATAATGATTTAGCTTTATTCCATTTATTACACTGGTTGTTCTTGGTATGACTGTTTATGTTTGCTTCT